GCCGAGTACGTGAATAGAAATGAGTTGCGAGGAAAATATGGTAAAAATTAAATCATTACAGTCAGCAAAGTGAGCGGACACGTGGTCTCTGGAATGGTTGCATGTCAGATGCTATTTACACAAACAAATGTGTCGGGACAACATGCAGGCCTCCGACGGACCTGGACTTGGTTAGGCAACATTGGCGATATGTACAGACAAGCAGCGAACAGATCTTGGCTTCGGTCGACCGGGCAGAAGGGGGCAAAATATTTACAGAAAGCAGGGCATGCTGGTTCACAGCCATTGAAGAGGGAGTGGGGAAGAGGGGCGTCCATCGGTAGCACAGTCGGCATCGGCAAGTCATGCTGTACACACACACACAGCCCAATCTGATTGGCCAAGTGTGCTGCCTGCGTCCACACAGTCCGGGAAAAAACCGGACGCGGTATCCGGCCAGGCTCTCCAGATGGCAGCGCATGCAAAAGCGTCTGTCTATGCGTGCATGCTGGTGTGCGTGAATGATGTAAAACGATTTGGCGTAACGCAGTCAGTCGGAGGCGATCATGCGTGCGCGAGTCTGGTTGTGTCAGACGGGGTTTGTGCCAGTGCGCCACTGCGTCATCACAAACCTCAGACTCGAACGACTGTTGCGTCGTTTCACGCCACTTCGCGATGCCTCAGCCGGTCCTGCCGGCTCTGCCGGATCTTGTCTGCCGGGCGTAGTCAAGGCGGTCACGGTCTGGGCGGACTCGGAGGCGAAAACAGAGTCGAGTCTGTCGCTGGTGCCTGTGCGCCATCGGCGCACTCGAACGAGCCCATTCAAGCCGGGCTTTATCGGCGCCTCGAGACATCTACCGGCCGGCTCGGGCCGACTCGATGCTGCCTTGAAGACGGCTCTGCGGAGGAAGGCGAGCGGTTTCAGACTGACCCGCCCAACGCGCGGTGTTGCCGTTGCAGAGGCAGAGGCGATGGCGACCGATTCGAGGCTGACCAGGTCGGACGGTAACTCGGCCGATGAGGCATCGACGTCGCCGTTGACAGACGTCATCGCTGCCTCGAGCCCAACGAGGCGCGAGCGAAGAGTGCCGCTGGGCTGCTCGAGCGAACGGCTACGTTGCGAGTGGACTTGCGTGTCGCACGAGTCCGTCGACGAAGCTGGCGTCAGACGCGCGGCCGGCTCTGATGCGCCTTGGACGCAGCATCTACAGACGACCGATGCTATTGGCTGACCGACGGCGAGGCTGCTGCAGACACGCTCTGAAAGGCAGCTGCACATGCATCGGATCGACATAATCTCGCCGTTGGCCGGCTCGCCTTTGAGACCGCCGCGACATTGGCCCTCTGGACAAGCGTCCTGGCGACTGGGCGGACTGTGCCGAAGTACGACTGTCGACATGCAGTCGCCGAGCGTAGCCGTCGGCAACGAACAGCCCAGGTCTGTATGAGCTGAGTGTGACGTCGGCGCCGAGGTCGCGGAAGTCGTGGAAATGGCGGAAGTTGCGGAAGAAGTGGAAGCGGTGTGCGGCAGACTGGAGACTGTGGCAGAGCTGGAGGAGAGGCAAGAGCAGCCCGAGCTGGACCAGGTCGACGAGGCTGTTGGTGAGCAAGCGACTCCGTCGACAGAGAGACGAGTAACCACGTTGGCAAGGGAAGAGGGAGAGTCGGTTCCGCTGACGCCAGAGTCGGCAGTTCGCTGGCTCCCAGTCGTCGCGGCCGGCGAATGCTGAGTCGGCCTGGTCTCTCTAGCCACGGCCATGAGAGAGCATCTGAAAAATAGTTGATAACTCATTTATATGCTTTCGAAATTCCCCATTACATGAGATGAATTTAGCCTATTTCGTCTAAGGTGATGAAGGACTGGTAGTAGAATTTTCCCACAATGATGAGTTGAGCTGACGTTTCCATTAAATTACA